GTTGCTTCTTCTATTAAAATTTTGTGCGCCAGAATCATCCACACACAGTAAACAAACCAGGCCTTCTAGACAAAATCAGTTTAATGTGGAGCATTGGAAAATAACAAAATTTTAATACCAACCACTGATACCTGTCTTTCTACACTATTGGCATATCTTCTAGAACATGCTATGAATCTGACCCACTAAAGAATTATAGAGAACCCTGATGATACCAGTACTTCAGATAAGTACATTTTTGTCAAAATGTTTAAACACACTTCAAAAGAGTTATCTGAGAAATACATATTTAACAACAGTAATAGCAGTTGGTGTTCAAGTAAAGGTGAAAGTCAAAATTTTAAATACTGAGTTTCCAAGAGAGTTTATTTGCATTAGAAGACATAAATATACAGCAGTAAATCATGGAATGGGGAAAGCACAATAATATTTTGTTCAATATCCTGATATAAAAACTCTCTCTGCAAATAATAAGTAACTAGGAATTAACCTTAATACTTTCACTGCTGCATTGTTCTAGCATTGTTGCCAGGCTGTGCTGGTCCATTTTAGGAAAAATAGGAAACTGCCATTTACTGGAAATAAATTACTATAAAGATGCTAACCATAATTTCTCATGGGCACCTCCAAATTAGTTTTGATCAGATATTCTGCAGTACTGACTAAACTAATTGATTTCGTTGATTTGCTTTTTTATGTCTTATCAGCTAAAGGGCTGATAAGACATAAAATATGTTATTTAAAGCCAAAACATATTTTGGATTGTAAGAGGTTACTTAGAGTACCCAGTGTTCAAAAGTGGTACTCCATTTACAACTAAGCTAAACAATACATGCAACACACAATATAACTAAAAAATGTCACATTGTACATTATTATGTCTACAATAGTTTGGAAATAGCATTAAGTGCTAGTTTCTATTTTTTTTTTTTTTTTGCTTTTTTAATCATTTCACTCCAGTCAAGGCAATAAAGCCACTAAGATGCAAGGAGTTACTGAGTGTGAAAGTATATGAGAAAAAAGAAAAACATTATTGAGAAGAGAGAACAAGAAAAGGACAAGAATTAAGAAGATAGAAGATAATGATTGACATTGCATTTAAATTTTTGATCAATGTTGTGTGGAAAGCAAGAGGTCCGGAAAAGAGTTCCACAAGCAAGAAGTTCAAGAGTAGAAACTTTTATCATAGAACTTATGGTTACATCTAGCAATTTCAATGGTAAAATGACAAGACTTAGCTGTCAGTCTAATTCTGCACTTAAATTTGTAAAGTCAAGATACCAAAGAGGAAAGCTCTTCAGAACAATTACCATAAAAATAGTTATAGAAAGAGCACAGGGAATCTACATTATGGCAGTGGGAAAGTTACTGGAGTTGAGATGTCTGATCAGGATTAATAACATTGCAGATTCTTCTTTGGATTTTATCAAGAATCTCTAAATATTTAGTAGAAGCACCAGATCAGGTATAGCAATGTATGGATGAATGGATGACTTATTAATATGTAAGATAGATTCTGTCAATAAAAATTGTCTAACATGACACAGTGAGCCAACTTTCCTAGCAACAAACCTAGAAATTGATTCAATATAATCTTTTATTATGTCAGTGGTAAATATTAGCCTCAGAAGGTGCAATAAGTCACTCTCTTGGAGGTTAGTTTATAACACAAATTCTAGGAATTAACATTTCTTTGTGTTTTGAAAATATATATATGCATTGACAGCAGGCAATATTAGTTTCATAAAGACATTAAATAAGTTTGTCTTATATTCATGTCATCACTGTCGTCAGTTCTTCCAAACCCAGTGCTACATAATAGACAGTAATAATGGTAGACACTTTTCCATTTTATCACACTTTATTTTACGAGAGACAGAAGTCATAGCATTATTTCTAGGAGGAAGGGAGAGGGAGACGATCAGGAGGTCTCATATCAATGTTAGTTAGCCAAAGTCCTTTTGTCACTTGCTGGCTTACTTCACTGTGGTAAGGCATACAGACCCTTCTAATTTTAGCACTGTTTTCCTTCCTTTTTGGTCTTATATCAAAACTTAAGCAAAAGCAATCTATCACTGTCAAACCACTTCCACACAATTTTTGTCATTAGAGTTTTGACTAATAGTTTGCTATTCAGGACCATACTATGTATTCTAACATCTGTAGTAGTGGAAATATTAAAAAGTAAAACAAAAAATAATTGTTTCTTCATCATTTTGTATGTCTTTCATCTTATTCTTTATAACTTTCTCTTTCTTGTTTCAATTTAGATATCACCCTGCTCAGAATCTTGGATCCACCCTGAGATAGAATGAGGAGTATACTTTGTTGCTAAGACTAGATAAGTATTACCAGCTGTTAGCATAGTAGATTTCAATAGATGAAAATGTTATTATAAATTGTGGATAAATCAATACTTTCTATGGATGGCCTGGGTGAAGTAGTTGCATGTTTTTTTTTCCACCCAGACTAGTGGTTGGTGCTTGGACCTTGGTAAATACTAAGACATCAAGTAGCGATTTCCAAAGAGACAGACCATTTTTTTAAGTTTAGAAAATATCTAGGGATAGAAGGATGATTGCAAGTTGTTTTTTGCTAGTGTAGTTTTGATCCTCACTGGGTGTCTCACTTTTGAAGCACTGTTCCAAATTCACCTTGATTTGTAAATATTTATGCTGAATTTATTCATACCTTATAGCTATTCTCAGACATTGTGTCACTCATGAATTGTGCTTGTTCTAGTCTGTTGCCAACAACCAATCTAATAGTGCAGTGTGTTTGATCATTGAAAGGGTATTAAACTTCTGAATCCCTGGTTCAAATTCAACTAACCCTAGGAAATATTTATGCTTACTTTATTTGCACTTTATGACTATCATGTATTGCTTCACTCAGGAATGGTGTTGTTGGAATTTAATTTGAGAAAAATATTTTACAAGTTCACATTCTCACTATTTTTTCTATCTTCACTCCAACCTCTTTTTACTTTCAAAACCAGCTCCCAAGGCCTTGATTCTTATCAGAGATAAGAATATATTTTCTGACTAATGAGAGGACTGGAAAATATAAAAAGGAGTTCCACCACAATTATTCTTTCCATGGTGTCATAAGGTCTGGGGGAAACCTCACAGTTTGTTCACTCCAACCTGTTTTCGTTAATTTCAAACCCGGCTCCCACATCCCTGATTCTTATCAGAGATAAGAATGTGTTTTCTGACCAATAGAGGGGCCAGGAAATTTGTACAACGATTTTGGAGGGAAAAGTCCCCAATCCATCGGAGCCTACCAAAACTCCATAGATTTGGAGAATCTTTGCCTATTTGACAGTGAGAATTCTGCCCATCGTCTGTGAAGTCGACATTAGGGAGCCCCAGTCAACTTCAGAAGCTCTTTCAACCAAAGAAGAACTACCTACTAAAGGGCTGTCAAGAATGAACATCGGTCTACAATTCAAGACCAATTCAAATCTGCATCCCTTCATCACTCCTTCTGACGAGCACACTCTGTTGTCAACCTACGAACTCACCCAACTGCAAGATTCCTATATCTACGAACAATTTTCCTACTCTACAAGAACTGTGAGTGTTTTTATCTAAACCATAACAAAATTCTAATCGCCTAAAGAACTCTTTAGGCACTCAGAAAAATATTTTGAGCAAGCCTTTTTCTGTTATGAACATTTTCTCTTTTCCTTTTTTTTCTTTCCTAATTGTCCTTTTATCCCTTTACCTTTTTTTTCTGTATATGTAAATAAATACTTTCTTCTTTTATTGTTACACACCAAGCAGGAGTTTTTTCTTTATTCGTACGTTCCTAAAAGAGATAGTTTGTCCGCTCTAATCTTGCTGTTTTTTACTCACATTTTATTGCAATTTTTTAAAACTCAACCCAATTTTTAACCTCAACCCTTTGATGCAGGAAAGCCGGGATAAATTTCCTAGCAATGTCTGTTCTCACCTGCTGGTTACCCTTACTCTACAAGGATTCTCTGAAAAGTACTTGAGTTGTGAGGAATCTTGTTGACACCAAGCCTCAAGAACAGAATTTTCATTGACTACATCCAGGTGCAACACCAACATAATAATAAATAGTTATACTTAATAGGCTTGTAGAGCAGTATGTAGGCATTGGGAACTTTTAGTTAAGCATTTAAAAAGTCTTTTGGCTATCATGAAGAACAGATTTAAAGGGAGACCTATAAAAAAAGAAAGGAAAAGAAAAAAAACCTTAGGAAATTTAATAATAAATAGCTGAATATCTCTTTAAAGAAAAAAAATATTTCATTCCTAATCTCTCTTACTCCTCCAGTTTTAGCTTCAATTTCACAAATTGATTCAGGCTTCATCTTTCGTTGCCTATCCTATCACTGTTCCATATCATATATAACAGTAATTATACTTTTAGGGTCTCTTTCACTTATCTTTCCACCCATCATCACTCCAAATACATAATTCTATCCTGCCTTCTACATTTACATTCTGCCTATTGGCTGCCATCATTTTGCAATAAGCTAAAAAAGCTATTTTTTTTCCTTAATTCTAGAACACTCTGCTTGACTGCATGTTACTTCTCTCTTAGTTTTGTCTTTGCATTCATTCTTCTACTTCTTGAAGAAACTTGAATGCATATTACCCACCCTGGTATAATACAATCATGTCCATCTGCTTTGTATTTGCCTTTCTGGTTCCTAACAGAAGTGACCCTCTTTATTTCATTCTCCCCTTCTTCAAAAGAGGTCTCCTATTTTTCCAAGACTAAACTTTGTGTCTATTTGGAAAAAAATAGCATTTATTAAGTTATGATAACATAAGAGAAGTTTTTCTTGAAGGCTTTGTTTGGATGAATAATAATTGGATGCTCTAGTTTTAAATTATTTCAGTTGCCCTAATTTTAATTGGTCCCTGATAGCTTCAGAAGTTATACAGAAGTTCTGAAGAAGATCCCAGAGTGTAATGAATTTTACGATGTACTTCACCTAACACATGGCCCTCAGATGACAAATGCATATTCTAAGTTTGTTATTTTTAACTTTTTTATCTTTCGTTCCCACCTCTTCCTCTGTACTTCTTTTTGTCTTTTTCAGCTTTTTGATTTCACTCTCTATCTCACTACCCCTTTCACTCAATAATCCTTTTTCCTTTTGCTCTCTACTTCCTTACCCTTTCAATCTCTGTATCCTCACTCTTTCACACTCTATATCCTTACCCTTTCACTCTCTATATCCTTACCATTTTACTCTCCTTCCTCACCCTTTCACTCTCTATATCCTTACCATTTTACTCTCCTTCCTCACCTTTTCACTCTCTATATCCTTACCATTTTACTCTCCTTCCTCACCCTTTCACTCTCTATATCCTTACCATTTTACTCTCCTTCCTCACCTTTTCACTCTCTATATCCTTACCATTTTACTCTCCTTCCTCACCCTTTCACTCTCTATATCCTTACCATTTTACTCTCCTTCCTCACCTTTTCACTCTCTATATCCTTACCATTTTACTCTCCTTCCTCACCCTTTCACTCTCTATATCCTTACCATTTTACTCTCCTTCCTCACCTTTTCACTCTCTATATCCTTACCATTTTACTCTCCTTCCTCACCCTTTCACACTCTATATCCTTACCCTTTCACTTTCTATATCCTTACCCTTTCACTCTCTACTTCCTTACACTTTCACTCTAGTTCCTTACCTTTTCAGCCTCTACTCCTTTCCCCTTTCACTCTCTACTTCCTCACCCTTTCATTCTTTACTCCTTTCCCCATGGAGTCCTTTAATTTTTCACTCTCTACTCCTTTATCCTTTCACTCTCCATATCCTCACCATTTCACTCTCTATATCCTCATTCTTTCACTCTCCATATCCTCACCATTTCACTCTCTATATCCTCATCCTTTCACTCTCTATATTCTTACACTTTCACTCTCTATATCCTTACCCTTTTACTCTCTGCTTCCTCACCATTTCACTCTCTACTTCCTCACCCTTTCTCTCTCTACTTTCTTACCCTTTCACTCTCTATATCCTTACCCTTTCATTTTCTATATCCTTTCCAATTTCACTCTCTACTACTTTCCCCATGGACTCCTACTCCTTTATTCTTTCACTCTCTACTCCTTTATCCTTTCACTCTCTAATTCTTTCCTCCTCCTATTTAAATTCTTCTCCTCTACCTTTCTCTCATTTCATCACAAAATTTTCTTCCTTCTCTCTTTCTATCACTTTCTTTTCCTTTTTTATGTTTTCTTTTTATTATAAAAGACAGCATCTATCCTTTGTAATTTAAAAAGTAAACATTTTCTACTTTTTATTCTCTTCATATGTGTGCAGAATGAGGCACTCAAAATAAATTCTGGCTTAGGGCATAATTTTTCTTCTTTTATTGTCATTGGTTTTCTAAAATTCCCTGAAAAAAGAAATATTCTTGACATATAAAAAGAAAAGAATGAAAGAAATTGTATTTTTCTTTACTTTTGGTTTTCAGTTGGTTTAGACTAACCCTTGAGAAAAAAAGAGATGAAAAGAGACTCTGTGAGTGAGAAAAAGACAGAGAAAGAGAAAATTTAGTCAAATAGTGAGATAGAAAAAGAGTAAGCAAGAGGGAGAGTGCCTGTAGATAATTGTTACCCCCTTCTGGTTTGTGTCTTACAAGTTTTTACAAAAAAAACCCAAAAAAACAACATTTGTTAAAATATCAGCTCTTCTTTTTAGCTGCCATACTTATTTTTAAACCATATTATTTTACATCAGTGCATGTAAATGAGGGTGTATAATTTCAGATTTTTATTCTCAAACTTCAACAAAGTTTTTTCTCATTGTCAACACAAGACAGATTTTCAATTATACATTCATTCATTTAAGTCAATTTTCTAATATTTGTAGTTTTATCAAAATGTTTTCCTTACTGTACTTTCTTGTCTTTTCCCTGGCATCTTTCAGAATCAGCAACTTTCTGGGAAGAATGAATGGAGCCTTTTATTGGATCCTCAGACCAATATTGCTCATATTCCTCAAGAAGGATGCCAGATGTGACAGCTATGGGAAATAGAATGTTACTGAGTGCAACAGTTGGAGTTAAAATAGTATTATAGATGCAATAAAGATAAGAAAGCAAGTTCAAATTAATTACTGTTTAATAATAAAAAAAATCTAATCGCAGACATTCAGTTAAAAACAGAACAATTTTATGGTCTTCAACTTCAGTCAAGTACAGGATATTTAATGTGAGAGGATATATTTGAAAATTTGGGACGCTTATAATTTATAAAATATTACCTGGTATTAGATATCTCATATTTTAATGATATGATAATGTAAAAGACATTTAATGTGAGAGGATATACTTGAAATTTTGGGACACTTATAATTTATAAAATATTGCTTGATATTAGATATCTCATATTTTAATGATATGATAATGTAAAAGACATATAATGTGAGTGGATATACTTGAAAATTAAGGACTCTAAGATATTACTTGATATTACATATTTTTTTTAATCATTTTACCCCAAGCAAGGTGGTAATGCCACGAGTATACAGGGGTGGGGTTTCAGAGAGGGGAACTGAGAGAAAAGACTGGATATAGGAGGACTGTGTTATGGTGTAATGGATATTGACTTGGAATGATAACTCGGAGAGCTGAGTTCGAATTCCAGTTAAGTTCGTTATATTTACTTATGTAAAAATACCTTTGGGAACTTCTCTTCCCAGATATGGGTTGAATAGCAGGACACACTGGGTTCTTTAGCCTTGGTTGGCAACCAGTCTACCATAGAAAAAAATGGCAACCTACTACGGGAAAAATTTTCTGCCTTGTCATTCATGTATCAAAAAATACATGATCGCCTAAGTGTGTATCATGTGTTGCACTTAACTGACTGTTAGTGGGGATTGAGGAAAGAAAAAAAGAGATATCTTATATTTTAATGAAGTGGTTTAGGACAAACTATATGAGCTACTTATACTATATATATTCTAGAACCAAAAATTAACAATGTAAACTAGTCACCAGCAAATGATATAAACACAAATGGTACAGTATTTCACTAGGAAGGCTTTATTATTTTACCTACTCATGTAATTAGTACATGAATCTTAATCAGAGATGCAAACAAATGGTTAATTTTGAAATTCCCTGTCAGTTACCTGGATCAACGCCACATCTGATGAAGGCTGGAGGAAACAATGACTGAAACACTGTAATAACAATAATAAAGATGAGAACTTTTTTCTTTGTTTCTAATGAAATTTCCTGTTTCTTAATGGTTTGCTTAGCTTTTGGACTTCAATCGAGCATTTTCCCAGGTTAAATAAGTAGTTATACTGGGAAAAACTTCATCCAGTTGACACTTAAGATTAAATGTAAAACCTCTTAATTACAAGTCCTTTCCTAAAAATCAAACCAAATCCAGAAGAACCACCCAAATTTACATGTTAAAATGGTTTGGGTGTGAAAAGGTTAATTTGTTATTGGTTTTTATACCTCTAAATGTCAGTAGTTTCATTTTTAGTACAATAACAAGCACAAATAATGTGCTAGTAAAGCTTAGTAATTAGAGGATTGAACTAAAAGCTGACAAATCTTAAGTTTTATTACTAGTTTGGTGTTATTAACTTTTATTACTATAAACAATAGAAGTTAAAAGGGACATAACTCTTATTGTCAATTTTGGTGTGCAAATTTCTATTTCTATTGAAGCAACAAAACAAATATTGGGAATTACTCAATAACAACTGAAATTTCTGAAAATTTCTGTTCCTATAGAAGAGAAATAAATATTTAATATAAGTTTTGAAATTTCTGTTTTTATTGAAGAGACAAAACAAATATTGAGCAATACTCAATTACAACTGAATACAATATACACCTGAACAAAGTTCTAAAACATATCAACCAAAACATTGTGATAAAGAACAAAAATGTAGATACTAGTGTAAATTGTGAAACAAAGGGAAAGTCATTCTATATGCCATCAACCTTCAAGATGTGGACGATCATGGCTCTCTACAATTTCCTGTCCTTTGTAGCTCTTAGCAGTGTACGTTGTTTTACTATCTCTTCTAATCCCTGCTCTGTCAAGCTTGTTAGGTAGGTTATTTGCTTTTTTCCTCTGTCCCTCTTGGCTTCAGTATATCCTGTGAGTGTCAAATTCTCTCAGCTCTTTTTCCTCATTATGTGCCCTAAAAATTTCAATTGTCATTTTCTGATTGTAAGTATAGGTGTCCTTTTTTTCCTCTAAAACTTTGTCATTGTATTTCCATGATATTCTCAGCATCTTTCTGTAGAACCACATTTATGTTCCTTCAATTCTCATCTTCATTTGTGAGGAGATTGTCTAGCATATCTTATTTGCAAATCTTACATTGTGAAGATTGTGGCCACCAATAATGAAACCTGGTAGGACTTTTAATTCTCTCAGTATTGCTTCACTGAAAATGTTTAATAAGTTTGATGAGAGGACATATCCTTGTCTTACACCCCTTTCTCTTTTTGTATATTTACTGAATTCATTTTCTTTCCATGTGCAAAGGTTTGCTTTCAGTGTAAGTTCTATATTTTTCTAATATCCTCCCCAAATAAATCAAGATGAAAGGTCTTAATGGCCTGGTTTCCATATGGTATTAAATTTACTTTAACTATCTTGAACTTAGTATGGTACAAGGTTAACTAGGTGGTATGGAAAAAGATTGTTACATCAGATTTACATTTCAGTTGAGGTTCTTTATATTTACTTGAAACTAATCTCCTTGGGAAGAATATAATATATTCCTCTTTGGGTTCTATTATACAGCCAGATATCTCCAGAAAATGTCTTCTCATCTAACAACAAAAACAGACTGAATTTTTTGGCCAGCCTAATATTAAAAGGTTTTTCCTAAGTAATTTATTTTCTCGTTTTTCATCACTTTTATATTAAGTTAAAAATGATGCAAATTTTCATTGATACAAGGTTGATTTTTTTCATTATGTGCATGTGTTGGCCTATATGCATATGTGTAGAATGCTGTGATTATTTCTTCTTTACATCATTTTCATTGTCACTGTATATGCTCTCTTTATTGGCTTTATACCTTTTATATATATATATATATATATATAAATATATATACAAACACACACACACACACACACACAGAGGGAGAGAGAGAGAGAGAGAGAGATGGATAAATTGTCGTTCAAATTATCCAAAAATGAAATTAGCACTGACATTTCATTTTAACAGATATATTTACCAAAATTACACAAAAATATCTTGAAATACTAAAAAGTAAATTTAATCAATAAAATTGCAATTTTCTTCAACCATGGCCTCCAGATAACTTTGGAATCTCCTGAAACTTTTCTGCATGCTCTCTTTGTTTAAGTTGGTGAATACTGCCATAATCCTTGCCTTCAGTTCATTTTTAGTGCTACAAGGAGTTTTGTTGCTCTCTCGCACAACTGTGCCTCACACATAATAATCAAGAGGGTTGCAGTCTGGGGAGGCAAGTGACCAGATGCAAGAGGTGATCTGGTCACAGAAATTGTCTGACAATCATAACTGTATTCTCCTGCTTGTGTGACAAGGTACAGAGTCCTGTTGCGAGACATAAGGTCTTCCAGCAGCCACCCTCTTGACCAAGAGCAGCACTACCTCCTCAAGGCACTTGTCAATATCTGTGATGAGTCTGAGGCTCTGTAGGAAAATGAATGGAGGCATAACATTGCCATCACTAATGATCACTCCTAACACCTTTGTAATCACCATTCAACTCATCCAACTCTTTCTGAATACTCCTGTTAATTCCCCTCTCCAAGTTCACCACTGCCTTAACTGGGTATTGAACTCACACTCTTTGGGTCCTGTCACTGGATCTAACCAACGCCTTTATCCACTGTGCCATGTGTCCTTGAGATAACTGATAACTGACATCCATTAAACATGGCATGTGGAACTAGAACAGTCTACCCCAGTGAGCAAAATAAAGGGTTCAGTTCAACATTCCAACCACTTGAAGAAGGCCGGAGCATACAACGGATGAAACATTATAATATATATGGCAACAAAGGTGAGGACAATAGTCTGAATAATGTAAATAGTGTACATAACCCCTCATCTCAGAAAGATAGACAGATACCAAAATAGAAGTAATCCCATAGTAGCTGTTATAGAGAAGGAAATTTGAAAATGAGCAAAAAAAAAAAATGCCATTCCCATTATTTATTTATTTCAATAGATGCAAATTAGATAGAAAGGGAGGGAAAAAAAGAAATA